TTCACTGTCATCTTCCCCTTCACGTCAGCTCACTGCGTCCTGCGTTCCTCCTCCAGCCTGAACCACCCTGCCAAGGTCAGCAGTGCCTCTTCTTTTTATTCTTCCCTGCAGTATCTGACACACGCCTTTTCCTCCCTCTCCGCTCTCCCCCAGTCTCTTCTGTAAGTGGCACTCCTTCCATTTCTCCTGAAATGCAGGTCTTTCCCAGGTTTCCACCTCATTGTTTTTCCCGGCGTGTTTCTTTTCCTGTGTGATCTTACCTCCTTGTAAGGCGTCAGCTCTTCCCTCTACCACTCTGATTACTTCCACACGCTGACCTGTTTCCTCATTCTTGATTTGTGTTTCTAATTGTCTGCTAAATACCTCTTCCTGGGTGACTCAGTGGTACCCCAAATATAACATGGTTAAAGCCAAGTTATTTCTGCTTAAGCCTCAAAACCCCTCTTCTTCAGGAGTCATCCCCTCAGCTGTTCACATTAGAAGGTTCAAAGTTTCTTTCTCCCATCCATCATTGTCCCTTTTAACTCTAAAATGCCCCCATCTTCACTGTCCTCGGTGCTACCCACCCGAGGGAAGCAGCCTTAGATAGTGGAATATATATGTATGTATACTGGACCTTGGAGTAGGATAGAATCTGGGTTCAAATCCCAGTGCTGCCACTTGCTAGCTATATGACCTTGGGCATGTTGTTTAACTTATCAATAAACTGGCGGGTAACAGAAGCTACCTCTTAGGCTCATTGTTAGGATTTACTAAATAAACACACAGTCAATGCAAAACCCCTGCCTAGACTAAATTAGATTCCTAATCGATCTACCTGCCTTGGTTTTCTCTACTCCACGTTAAACAATCCCACCAGACTTTCTAATTTACAAATGGGATCATTTATTTTCCAATATCGAAAGTCCCTGGTAGTTTCCTGTTGCTTCAAGAAACATTGAAGCACCTTTGTCTTAGTTATATGAGTAAAGTAGTCATGTACTTTGTCATACAGATCAGGACACTTGCGAGAGTGGAAGGAGACATTAATTGAACAGGATTCCAGGACAGCAGCCATAAACTGGGAGAGCTGGGACTGATGGTCATGCTGTATATCACAGTCTTCACAGTGTGCCCCACCCTCATCTCTCGACACACCACACTCCTCACCATTAGCAAAACATAGGTCTAGACTAGAATGTCTAGAATGGCCCCTCCCTGCTCTTAGAAATAAGCTTTACCTCGCTCCTGCAGAATAAATCAGCTCCTCTTCCATGGATTAGAACACTTCCCACATATCTCCAATGTGGCACTTACCATTCTACTACAAATGTCAGTGAACCCTTTCTCTCTCACTAGACTCGTGAACTCCAGGGTTCAATCTCACTTGTCTTTAAATCCCCAGATACTTGCATAGTCCATGGGATCAAGTTTGTATTCAGGAAATGTTTATTGAATTAATGAATAAACTGGATTTATTGGTCTACCTTGGATAATCCGCGTGAATAATTCAGAACATTCTCTTTTTTTTAGTCTAGTCTTTACTCCATGAAGAATATAAGGCAGCTTACAAGAAGACAGTATGTAATAGCATAAAATCAAAATGGGTATCTTTTCTTTCTTCGATATTACATTGTTTTTCCCTATCCCACCTTTCAATAAAGTGTTTTTGTTTGTTTCTTTGTTTTTCTAACCTAATATTTGGTATTTCTCACCACAATCCCCATTTCTCTAGCCATCTTGCCACTGACCATGCGAACCAGTTCTAACACAAAAGTAGAATTTCTTCTGTGAGACCTTCAGGAAAGCTTTTGCTTTCCTGATACAAAGGAACAAACTTGGTTGGCTCAGTTCTTCACTATCCCATCCCTCTCCCTTCTTTAGTGAAATATAAAAGTGGTACCTGGAGATGCAGCAGACAACACACTAGGGACAGCGGAGTTGAAAACCAGGGAAACCTGGGACCCTAACAGCATCATTAAGCTCTTGAACTAGCCTTTGACTGATAACTCCTGGACTTGTATACTAAACAATAAGCGCCTATTTCTCAAGAAATTGTTAGTTGGATTTTCTGCTTATTTGCAGCCAAACACATTCCTAACTGATACACTCATCAGCCTACCTTCAAACATGTTACTCAAAATTTTTAAAGCAGTTTTAGTCATTTTGTATAGAGAATAGTATCATAAGATTTAAATGAAATAAATGCACTCTGTCGTTTTTCTATCTGATACAAGTATAAAGTTGCCTTTCTTAAATGTCTCATATCCTGTCCTTGAAATAACTTGCACCACATGTTGATCAGTAGTATCAGTGAATAACACAACTAGAAAATCAGGGTTTTTGTTTTCAGAAAGCAAGTTTGCAGATGAGGTGTTCCATAAGCACATATCTAAACACAGTATGGTCGCCCCATTTTATTTATTAATACTTATGCTAGCATATATGACTACAACTAATCTAATATTTTAAAACAGAGATCTTAACCATTTAAGACTAAAGCATTCCATTTTCTACACTTTAAGCACACAAGGTAAAGATAAAATATTATTTCTCTACTCTATAAGCTGCATGAAGTGTTCCTCTGATGGTAGTAGATATATATATATCGTTGCTGCTTAACCTATTTTTAAAAGTTCTATGTCAAATGGTGTATTTACTACAACTGCATATTTTTATTTAAAAAAATGTTTTCCAATTGAGGTAAGAAATGTATTTCTCTGTAAATAATGCTGAGAAATTTATCAAGCCTTTTCAGCTGTGATATTGAAGCCAAGAAGATCTTAATACTTTCTATGCTGGCATATGCTTTAATTGCATCTATTTAAACTGCAGAGTATTAAGAAGAATGTTTGTTTATTAAGCATTTAGTCAGCTTTGTTGTATTTTTTCCTCAGTACCAAGGATGATTGCTTCAATGTTAATATTCAGCCACCTGTTGGAGAACTGCTTTTACCTGTGGCAATGTCAGAGAAAGATTTTAAGAAAGAGCAAGGTGAGAGATTACTACAGTTTGCTAGAAACTGACATCTCAAATATGTGCTCATTCTTTTGGCCAGCCTCTAAAATAAATTACCATATATACATAGCTATTAATAAATGTCTGCAGTCTTCTAGTTTTTGCTAATACTTTTATAAAATAATCTTTAAAGTATGTTTGTCTACATTGCTGGCATATCTGAAGATTGATTAATATGTCTTTAAAATAATAAATTGATTCATAATTAACTTTTCAATTCTGGAAGTTGTGGTTTGTCAACCTACTGTTTGTTGTACTTATGTGCTCTGTATTAGTGAAAATGTCAGGAATTTGGGACATAACCAAAGTCCTACCATTATAAATGTTGTATTTCTGTTTTTTCTTTCGTTGTAGTACTGTTTTTCATGTCTTACTCTGATATATTTTTATTTTTCCCTGAACACATTAGAGTGCCTTACCCTTCATAATAAAGTCCGAATTATAGCATTAAAGTAAACCTTCCTTTTCTTTTAGCCTAATTCTATACTAAAGAAAGGCTATGTTGTCAGACTGTATCAGAGCCAAAACGTTTTAAAATATGCACCTAAAAAAAATATTTTTCAACAGAATGAAAGTATTAATATCTTTTGCTTGCCCCAGAGTCAAGCATACTTTCTAATAAAAATAATTTTTTTTCAATGAATAAGGGAAAATAACTGTCTGAATTTACGTGTTTAATTAAAGGATAGCATTTATAAAACTGGGGCCTATTTAAATGGTATAGTCAGCAATTTTTAAAAGTTTATGGGAACCTAGGCTATTTTTTTCCCTTGGAAAGGGTTATCAAACATAGATCCTTTCATCTCAAGGTCATTAATTTATATCTGTCAAGCTTCCAGAAAGTACTAGGCACATACAAATATCTGCACCTAAGGAGAAGGGCATACTTCCTGGCACTCCATTATAGTGCCCAAGATTTTTATACTATCAGCCTTTGCAACCCACAGTGTCAGAAAGACCCATTGTAGAAAACTCACACAAAGAAAATCTCATGCAAAACTGTAAGTGAATAGTAATTTTTTATTCTTCTGCCTTATTTTTAAGTGATAATAAAGAATGACGCTATCCATCTTTGCATTTGTTTTTCTTGGAAGTTGATTATTGCTATAGAAGAAAGTCATCTTTGTGATTTTATTTTTCTGTTGACAAATTGAATTGATTCTTACATTTGCTATTCTTACCCTTTGCTGGCTAAAGCCTGCCTCTCTGCTTTTCACCTGCTCAGCAAACCAAGGTGAGTGGCACACAAGTGACTGAATACGCTTGGGCACGCTTCTTGTTAAGGGGACAGTCCTTTTTTTGAAAAGTGCAGCTAAAGTATAGCTAAAGCAGTAGATTATCATATATGCTTTTTCTCCCCTGGCTTTGGTTTAGAGTACTTGATATTTTGATCAAGTTTTTTGCGCTCTGCTGTGACTGAGGGTTTTTTCCCTGACTAGCCATACAGAACCGTAAGCGCATAAGAGAGGTGCGCTTGGAGAGCAGCTGTGGTCCTCTGTGGAGTTGTTGCCAAAATTCCTTTTTCTTCTGCCATTTTACTTCTATGGTTGTTGATTATTTGTCTGAATAAATCTGGCAGCTGTTTGCTATGTTTAATAGAGCAGAAAGGCTACTCTGAATAAAGCTATTTGAAAATTTGTTTATATGAAGTATTTGTAAATCCTCGCAAGTCTCTTGGCATTTCTGTATCATTCTTTCTGTCTTCTTGAATTCATTCCTTGATGTGGGACTTGATGCTGGCAAATTTACCGCAGGTTTAAAGAGTATTTTCAATATCATCTTTTTAGTTATAGACTTCAGCTGGCTTGGTAATAGAGGTCTCAATTCTCAACTTTACACATGTTATTTGTTTGTTATACTAATCAAGGAAGAGCTTTGCTTATTTCACAAAAGATACCTAAAAATGACTCACTAACTGAAAATCCTAAATCAGAATAAAAATCAGTTTCCTCAGGTTTTATCAATGCAAACTTCTGGAGGCAGAATGCCATTAAATTTAAGAAGTGTCTGCATGTGCCCGTACATGCTAGCTTTAACCTATATGTCTAACTTTAAATAAAATGAATTTACATCCCTAATATCTCATCTCACAGGGTATATATTTTAAGAATCAAAAAAGTGTATTAAATGTATTATTTAGGATTTAACTGAAAAAATATAAATAAAAATCAAGGCATATGGTTCTATTTTATATTTTATAAAGATGTACATAATTTAAAAGGGTGTACAATATTAAATAAATACTTCTAACAGATTGTTCATATCAGATTAATATTTTTTTAATGAAAAGGTTTTGTTTCTAATATACAGCCTAATCTGTCATTTTTTTCTCAGTTGGTGCATTTAGAGTTCCATGGCTAATTATGCATGTTTATAAGGCTGTAGTCAAAGTGCTAAATGAAAGATTGGTTTTTTCTATATGTTCATATTATTCCTAGTCGTGGTATTTATGAGACTTAACCAGAAGCATGATTCTTTGAGTTTGAGCCTTGCAAAGTTAGATAATGATCTAGCTGTGGGATGATTTCAGTCCTATAAATAACATGAAATCTCTCTTTTACTTAAAAAATTTTAGTTTCTTGAGGCAGTTTTAATTGTAAGAGACCTAAGCCAATTGCTTATTCTAAACTGCCTCCTCGTATTCATTTTCTTCTTATGAATTAATTTGGAAATCTAAAACTTAGAAAAAATTATTTAATTTTTTAATATTATTTGGTTTGCATTTTAGCAGTTAATTACAGCTGATTAACCTAAATTAAGTGCTGTCCCCTGCCTTGCCAAAATTTAGATAAATTCTAATGCGGCGACAAATTCTATAGTCTGACAATTTTAAAATATTTCCCAGTGACTTTACCTTTATTATGTATGAGCAGGCTGTGTAGTGTGCAAAGTCTGTTTCTATAGCAGAAACTTTTAATGATACCTTGGCGTATTTTCTTTCTCTTTAATTTGAGAATACCTGATATATTTTCATTTAGAAAAATCTCTGGTTTAAGAAATCTAGAATGTTTACTTAATTTTATTATGATTTATGCATCCATCTTATGGATTCCTAGCTAGCAAGATGCTAATTTTTTAAATGGTCAGACATTTACTATTTTCTGGCCCTTAACTACCACAAGCAATCATATTTGATGCCCCTTAATTAGAGCACCTTTTTTTCTTTCCAGGTTCTTTTTCCACCTCAGCAATCGAGACAATACATTTGCTTACCATGCTGCTCTCCTAAGTGTTCTTTTGCATGTAAATTAATCTTGATTCAGTTTACACTGTCATGCTGAGTGGTACAAATTGCCTATAACAATAAAACAGCATGAGTTAAAAATAAAGGGGGGTGGGAAGGCAGATTGAATGTGTGCCTTACTTGATAGGATGTTACTTTGCTTTATGCCAATACATTAGCTGACGATAATGAATCTTCTGTTCTGAAAAGCATGGTTTAGTTGATTTTTTTAATTTTACTTCAATGGAGCAGTACCTTGTCTTTTATAGACCAAGTTAGACAAACCATTAATGACAAGAGTGTTAAGGTTAAATATGAAGCAATGCATTCACTTCTCTGAGTGCTATCCATCTTTCCATTTACAGGAGCTTGACAAAAGTACTGGCTTTGTACAACATTTCCTTTAATTACATGCTGCGGGAAACAGGCTTTTAACATAAACATAGTTGCATTCATTTATTCAGCAGTTGCTCTTCAATAGAGCTTAATGGAGAAGGTTTAAATCCTAAATGAGTACACACATCTCTCAGCAGTGTTATGTCAGCAGCCACTGTGCTTTCCTTAAAAGCAGTGTTTGACTGCTTGTGTAGTTTTTAAAGCTTTTGCCTAATATTGAAGTTAAACAATCTAAGACAGAACATAGTGTCCCCGAGTTTGAAAGTGGTTAGTAAAAGCTGCTCTTTGTTAAAAGCTAGATACGTCTTTTTACAGTATTAGGCGCTAGTGTCTTCATCCTGCTTATCATAGGGACTTAAAATTTTGGGGGGCTGCATTTGCAGTAAATAACTAAATACATAACCCTGGAAGTTCAGGGCCTTTTGAAAACATAAAATCAAATTTTACCAATTTCATAAATTTTGTAAACTATTGTGCACATATCAGATGCCTCAGATTATCATTTTTAGAAGATATCATTAGGTGTCAGTGACTTATATCATAGATCCAGATAGATGACATTTATTATAATTATTTTGTTTAGTTTAACCCAGGTACTAAATTTCAATGTCTGTTCCAAGTGTTGGGTATGTTATTGAGTTTGTTCACTGAACATTTTTACATGAGATTTTGATGTTAATGGCATGTGTCTTGTGTTAACTTGGTATATGGTTTTTGTTCATGATTTTACTTAACGTAATTTCTTTCTTAAATATGATTTGTAATATCTGGGATTTAAGGTTTTCTATTCAAATTTTTTCCTTTGTTTTTAAACATTTTGCTTTCAGAAATTTCATTTGGTGTTTTTGCAGTAACTAGTGCCATTCACTATACTATTATCATTAAGTATAGCTTACATATGTGTACAGTTTTTGGAACCACATAACTGTTCAGTGACTTTCAGTCGTTGAAATAACTTTGACCCATCATACTGAGGCCATTCATCGGGTAATGCTGCTAGTTACTTCAGAATCACTTTGATTTGTTCTCAAGCAGCATTTGGCAAGAGAGATCTTTGAAAAGGAGAGGGGGGAAAAATTCTTAAAATTCAAAGCTTAATAGTTTACATAAGCTAAATTAATTGAGTATATTATAAAGGGACTGAAATTGAAATCTCTTCTTTATGGTTCTATGTTTTTATCCTATAGTATTTAAAATCAGATTTATTATGAGCAATGTTTGACTGCATTCTTACACATTTTCCTACACAGTAAGGATTTTTAACAATTTTTGAAACAGTTGTTCATTTTTAATTTTATGATAATTGTCTTGTAAATTACATTCTGAAGTATTTCTTTTCTTGAAAAAAGTTGTTTAATTTTGGCTATGAGCTTAAAATTGTTTTAATGTGATTTTCATGAAGAAATTAGTAAAAGGGAGTCTTCTTTTGCTTTTACAGGAATGCTTACAGGAATGAATGAGATGTCTGCTGTAATCGTCGTTGCTCCACAGAATTTCACTTCCTCTGTGATCCTTCAGAAGGTTGCAAATGTAGCTAATGTAGGTGTAGTTCCTTCTGGCCAAGATAATATGCACAGGTAGGTTCACCAGCACGCAACGTGGAGATAACTTTATACATGTATAGATATATAATTTTCAATTCATAGTTTTTCTGGAATATCACCCCTAAATATATATATATATA